TGAGCAGTTAGCTAGCGGCAGTGTTCTTCTGCAGATGTCAATAAACGGCTGTGCTCCCTGGCTAGCTCACGGGAAGCAAGACCAAACGATACCTCAGTCTCCTCCTTGTCTGAGCTCGCCACAATATTTTAGTTCTGCTGAGCCAAATAAGACAGGTCAGGGTGAAGAAGTGACAGCCAAAGAAAAGCTTACCACAAAACGGAAAAGTTATGACAATTCAGACTATAAGGCAAAAAGAAAGTGCAGCTTTATGGTTTCATGGACAAAAGAATTTCTGTGGCTGCAATATGACGAGCTAAATAACCAGGGCTGCACATAAGTGGTCCGCAGGTGCGTATTCGCTGTCAAAATAAAAAACGGGCACAAGATAAGAAGTTGCAACGCGTTTGCATACATAAGATTTTCAGGAGGAGGACAGACATTTGTTTAGAACTCTTAAAGATGTCGAAGAAGCAAGCTCCTTTAAGCAATTACTGTGATGTTCCTCCACCTCCAAAGAAACGTCAGAAGGAGTCCGAACCACAAAAGAAGCACGTATTTTCGGAAAAGTAGTTGCAGGAGGTGAGCTGGCTTCAAACAAATGATGAACGCACAGAGATGTGGGGCGGAATGTGCCGTGAAAATTTAATAAATGACAAATTAAAAAGGCATGAACATTTGTAAAAGTACCCTGCTAGTAACAGCTCTTTGAACTGAGGATATTTACATATCATGGAATTTTTTCTTTTTTTACAGGGATAATACTTTTACTTATGTAAAATGTTACAATAAATTCTTATATCACTACACTGCAGAAAGTGCTAATTAGATTCATCCATGCCGCTATTTGAATTTCTTTCTTTTTGTATTTTCAGCCGGATTGAGATGGAAACTGTAAAACAGAACAGCGATTTCTAATATTAATTCTTTCCTTTCTTTTGCAGAATTACTGAGGAGGGCTCATGAAATACAACAAAAAGAAGGAAGCTTCTGATGAAACTGGTGGAAACGTTAGAAAACTACAGTTATACATGATACTTTTTATTTTACATGTCAGTTATATAATGTACACATAAAGACAGACTGAAAACATCAACATGCATTTTTACGTTATGTTTTTCATGTATTGAAAATAAATTATGCTTCTTATTGTCATGTGTGGTTTCTGAGCCGCAGTTACGCATCTCACCGCCTGGTGGCAACAGTGTTATGTTTCTATGGCAACTGACAACATTGGCCTAACTAGTGTTAGCGATTACAACTAATGAGCTACAGAACGTAATTAGTTGAGGGTTTTTTTTTTTTTAAATTAATATTTGTGTGATACTGCTCCATATTTGTCGGCTATTTAAGGTGTTTCTATAACACATGCTCCTCTATAACACTGCTGACCGGCTGGTTTTCTGACGCACAAACTTTTTCTGCCAACTAGCTAGAGGTAGCTAGGTAATAAAAGTACGACAGTTACCTTAACATGTGCTCCACTGGCAGTACAGAGGATGTTTTGCAGCAGATGAGCAAACTGTGGTCCATGCTGGATGATCTCTCTGAAAATGACCCTGCAGCCTACCGTACGCTTATAGAGAAACAGATAAAGGAAGGAGCTGAATTCAGAGCGCCGCCCGAGCTGTACACCTGCCTCTGCACTGAAATACTGGTGAGTTTCATTCGTGAAGGCTCCTTCCTGTGTAGGCCCCAGTCCATACTGTGGTCCATACAGGTGTTGCTCATCACATTCTTTGGTTCAGCTAGAAAGGAAGCCCACCTTTATTCCTCCAATCATAAATTAATACTCTAAATTCAAACATAAATTAGGGAAAGATAACTGTCATATCAGAAAATGTAGGTAGGTAGGATACAGCTCAGTACCCATCATCAAAAAAAAAGAAAGATTCGGTGTCTCAGGTCCTGTCATTGGTACAAGAAATTACATTACAGGAGAATTTGGATTGGGAACAGCACCTACTCCGCAAAAGGCTCACCCAAGTAATACAGGCATCTGATGGTGGAGGAGGGGGACTGCCAGGAATCAACTAGATGTGCAACAGCAGTCCCCTAACTTCAGCAAGGCCGCTGAATGATGCGGGAAGGAATAAAAAGGAAGAACAATCAAATGTAGTGAGCTATGGAATATGAAAACAAAACAGCCCACATATGATGTACTGCTCACTCCAGCAGTCTGTTACTTGTTTGCAACCCTCAAACACATCCTGGTGGGCTGCAAAAGCAGTCTTAACACATGGAGGATATACTTGGTGACATAACCAACTAACTTGTCGGTAGCTATTAGTCAGGAGAGCATAGACTAACTGCAGCTCATTAGAAGTTAAAGCCACCTTTGTGCAACAAACAACCTTCATCTGGGAAGGTGAGAAATAGCATGTCAACCCCATCTTTCTGAAATACCTTTACACTTGAAATCAACCTGGACCCAGCTCTGGTTCTCTGGTCCAGTTCCTGCCAGTCTGTCTTCACTGTAGAACTGATCGTCCCTTGGGAGGATGCAATCAATAAGGCATATGACAAGAAAAAAGCATGAGCAAGCTGAGGAAGAGGACCAAGGCTGGAAAGTGGAAGTCCATTCAGTGTAAGTGGCCTGTAGGGGCTTTGCAGCCAGCTCCACAGTAAGACTGACGAAGGAAGTAGGCATTAGGAAAGGAAGCCTAGTACAAGTTAATCAAAAAGCTTGCCACTCTTGTCAAAAGAAAGTAGTCACAGGGGCTGGCTGAAGCAGAAGGAGACCGTGTGGCCTGCCAAATTACTGGTGGGTGCCATGTGAAATACACCCAGGTCTCATCACCCTGTGGTGGGTCTGCTTTGGCTGAGGGAATCTTGTGAGAAATTACGGAAATGCACTATGAAGCTGGGGTACAAAGCTGATGATGTGTCGCACTGACAGATACATACCCATATGGTCAGCAGCAAACACCCCATCTAGAGGACTTCTCCAACCCACTCAGGTCTGTGTTATACTGATAGGGATTATAACTTCTAGTCCTATTAATTAGTGTAGTCCATTACAAGCTGTGAAAGCTTTGTCATCAAATTTCTTGTTTTTATCCAACCAAGAGTAAAGTAATAACCTAAAAATATTTCTGCTGAGGAGCTGTAAGCTGTGCTTGCTTTATATATCCTAAAATACACAGGCTGCACGAGAAACACAGGCTTTTTCTTCACTCTGCAAAGATGCTAGACTTTTATCCACTTAGAACTTTGAAATTGAGTTTGTTTTGACAGATCCTTTTGACAGCACTGTGTTTCTGTGACAGAAACCAAAGAAAGGCCTGCTGTACATCAACATATGCGGCTGGAAACGTGTGCCTGCGCCTCAGGATCCCAGCAGGCCTTTACCAGTGTACACTGGAAAACTGGAAACAGGCACAAATGAAGATCAAGGTGTGTGTCAAGCTGCAGACCTGCCATTTGTATTACATGACACAAGCAAGAAAGTCTTACTTTTTCCTTTACAGGCTGGTATACTGTGCTGGATGTGGCATTAAATCCTGTGTTGCTGCAGGAAAGTAGGGAGAACAAAGCAGAGATTAACCAGGTCTATATGCTGGCCCTGAGCTTTGCCCAGAAGCAGCTTGGGATGACGTTATCACAGCAGTACAGAGTTGTCAACAGTAGCCCAAATAGTAGCCCAGATGAGTTGCACTGCCGGCTTGGATTTCAGAAGTTGTCCAGTGCCCCCAAACAACCCAACACAGGTAATGCAATAAGTCTGTCAACCCTGACAAGCTTTGATAAGCACTTTATGTTGAACCCATGCTCTTTACCCACTCTCCTTTCACCTCCTAAAACAATTTTCCTGATAATCCATAGTCCTTTTTTTTTTTTTTTTACAGCCGGTCAGACACCAGCTGCCCTCCTGCAGCACATCTCCTCCCTACGATCAGAAAACCAAGAGGACTCTGCTCCTCAAATTATCTTTAGGCCTGCAGAGAAAATAAAGAAGGATTTGATCCATGTCATCTCAGCCGCTTCTGTAGAGCCTCAGAAGCCAGAGTATCGACTCGAGATGAAGACCGATGCAGCAGGAGTTCCTGACAGCGTGGAACTGACGGTGGAGCTGCCAATGGTTTGTTCCATGTCAGAATGCCAGCTGAGCATGTCCAAGGTTAGTGGTTACACACTCCCTTGAACAGTTATAACGAAGCACTTTAGAATCCAGTGTGTGTCAGTGTGTAGCTGGATGTCATAAGAAATACATAATCGACCTGTAGCGAGCCTTAGTAGCACACTGGATGTATTTTTCTCTGCAGGATGACGTCTTACTGGAGGTGGAGGATCTTTACTATTTGCTTGTGGACTTCCCAAAAACTGTAAACGAAGACACCGCGTCTGCCATCTTTAATAAGAAGAAACGAAGACTTACATTGAAAGTGAATGTCTTGTGATCATTTTCCTTAATTAAGAAACAATGCAGTGTTTGTTAAGCTAGCTAAACACTGGCATTGAAAATGCCTCAAACAAAAACAACAAAACTCCTGTTGTGCAATGTACAAATTAAAAAAAAGGGAAAAAAGCACTGAGAGCGCATTGTGCTGTGGAGGGACTCGTATTCTGCCTCAGAATTCAAGTTAACTAACAATAAACAGCTTGCGTGTAAATTGATCCATTTCCAAGAGCAACATGTTTGTGAAACAAATATGTAACAGTGTCCCTTTGTGCTGTGTGGGCTGAGGCTCAGCAGCAAATTTAATTCTAACCCCCCACCCCCCAAAAAAAAAAAATTAATTGACTTTAATGACAATCTGTGGATTTTGTTTATTAATGTGTGGGCGCGTGAGTGGAGGTGTTTAATGGCTACGAGCTGGTGTCATTACCGTATGCAGGGGGGAATAATTGACAACAAAACAAACCATGCAATAATTTATGTTTATTAAAACATCAAAATTGATACAGAACAACAACATCAGAGTTTGGCAATCTGGAACACGTGGAAAATGTCAATAAACACTTCTTTCTTTCTTTTTTTGAGGTTTGCATACTATGCACTGATTACAGCTTTTTAAAGCACAGCGTAGCTTGTTTTTTCATATAAAGCTAACATTATTTTATTATTCAAGTATGACTTTACTGACCATTACGTGGTAGTCCCACAAACTTATTTATGAGCTGCAAACAATGTGCGACATGCGGTCCGTAAACGAAAAAAAACATTGTATCCAAATGTTTAGATTCTTCATATGAAACATTCACTTTTAAAACATGGTTTTGTTTTGTACCTTAATGGTGTTAGCTCCATTGGTCCCAGTTTTGTGTCGTAACACTATTCTTTCTTATGGCATCAGAAGTATTTTCAGTAGCTTCCTGGTCCAGTGGGAACAGCTGAGGTTTGTAGTGACGATCTCTAGTTTTTTGGCGCTATCTCCGCTCCCCGTGATCCTCCTCAACCCACGCAACAATCTTCCCCTCCCAGCCAGGGACAACGGCTCCATCCTGAAACACCTGAAAAGCCAGCATCCAGTGTTTACATATCTGAGAGACCCATATCTATACTATAAAAGGTTTGGATAGAAAGTAAAAATGAATACTTGAGGTTATCCAATTCTTTGGGATGGAAATAAGTCTCCCCATGGTGTTTTGAAGTGCACAGTAGGCACAGCTATTATTAGCATATCTTACTCTATAACTGCCGTTTTATATTTGCCAGCTGAAGCCCAATGTGAAGAGAAATAGGGGCTGTAATTTTACTCCCACGCCTACCTCCTCTTTCACTGTGCCAAACTCTGGGTCAAGGGCCTTGAAGTGGTATCTGAAACTGCCTTGTCTGTCTACAGCTGCCTTGAAGTCTCGCAGTGTCACCTCTCCCAGCCTGGAAGCACACATATATCCACACAAACGTTATGCTTTGGATAAACCAGCCCAGGCATCCATATGCGGCTATGGTCAACCAAAACCCAACTAACAATTTGCTTAAAAAATAAAGAACGCTCCAGTGAAGCAACACACAGCACTGTATCAAGCCACCATAAAGTGTTTATATACTCACCTTTTTGGGATGTTAATCAGAAATGGAGTGAGCGAGCGATCTGTGAAGTAGAGCACTTTAGTGGAGACGGCAGTATCCAGTCCTGGGCTGCTGTGTGAGTGCGCCATTTCTGGAAAAAAACCCAGCAAACATTGTTTTTCCACAACCAAAGTCTGAAAGGGTTCTAGCCTCACACTCAGTCATGCCCTCTCTTTGCAGCGCAGTGTAATTGAATGGCACAATTTGATTTAACAGCCAGTAGAGATGTTGCGGGGGATGACAAATCCTAAACAAAAACGAGCATTTTGTTTGTCTCACTCGAGCTCGGCGGCCAGGAGTCACGGTCTGTCGAGTTGGCTCTGCGTCCTGGCGATTTGAATTCCTCCTAGAAGAAGAACCAATTACTCATAGCAAACAGTCGGATGTTATCAGTTGCTGAGTCATCATTTGGCAAGTGACAGACGAGCTACTACATTTTAAAATTTCCTCTTTGAGTTGTGAGAGCGAGAGTGTGTACCCCTCTGTCCTGTCTTCGCTGGGTGTCCAGAGAGTGCAGTCTGTCCATGAGAGTGGCCACGCCCTGCTCCAGAGTGTCCAGGGTGTGATGTTGGGGGTCATGGCCGGAAAAACTGTCCCTCAAACTGCGAAGTGCTTCCCTGACGACCTGCAGCTCTTCACCCTGTGAAAAACAGTCCTCTGATACTTAAAAAGAATTGGAAAAAAATTCGAAATCATTTTGAACTATGGACATTTACAGACATTATTGGTTAATGAGAAAATTAAAGAGTGCATACTGGTGCGCTGTGCTGGAACACTGGAGGAGATGTCGAAGCGACTGAGTTACTGTACCCGCTGCCCTCGCTCCTGAACGCCTATCAGAGACAGAGACAGTATAGACCAAGGTGAAAAGTGTTCTGAATGAAAAGTGTGATAATATTTACAAAATGTGCTCAAACTGCAATACAAAGAGCAAACACTGGGCCTGTGTAGCTAAAAAAACAGCCAGAAAGCTTATTCATCTAAATAAGAGCTTCACTTTTGTCCAAAAACTATAAAAAAAACATCACAACGTAGTGGGTGACATGCTTTTTTCCTATCATGATGAACACCGTGCACAGGAGTCTATTTTGAGTCGATTTCACATACAGCATCCTGCTGCAAGGGATACTCACCGGTGCAAGAAATATGTATTAATCTGCCACTGAAAATAGTCTCCAACAAATGCACCATTTACTCTGATCTGAGTAACAATTTATAAAGACCACACCGCTGAGGTGTAGTGGGAAATGTAATGTTTTCTTCAAGCATCATGGTGCCTTAATATATTTAGAGTTTTTGGTCTTATTGAGTAATGTTTCTCGTAAGAAGAAATATATGGGCTATCTTGCGGCAAGTACAATGTAATCACAGACCGATGCGCGATAAAAAAACAAAACAAACGTTGGTGTTATATATGAGTCCTGCTTTCAAACATATGTTATTTAGCACGTATATGTGAAACCTGTCATGCTGCATACCCGTCCCAGGCTGACTTCATGTGCCTTGTGCTGAGCTTCATCAAGCTTTTGCTGCTGCTGCTGCAGTATTCTGTCCTTCCTCCCGAGCTGCTGCTATTGTGACAAGAGAGATGGATGGCACGAGGCTTTATTTGCATCTCTATGGCTAAAAGAACGCACTGACGTGTATATAATAAAAGACAATACCTCATATTCGCTAAGTAATTTGTTCCTTTCACTCAGCTTGCGTTTGAGCTCTGCCTGAAAACAGTTATATCAAGGTGATATATGAGTGCTATAGTTCTCTCACTTAAACCTGCAGCCACGAGTCAAAGAGGTCGAATATTTCATCGTGTCAAAGGGAAATCATCACTTGTCTCACATTTTCCCCCTCCAGCTGATCTTTGGCCATGTTGCACCTCAGTAGTTCCTGCTTTAGCTGCAGCACAGCATCCTCCTGCACTGCCAAGCGCTGCTGCAGAGCATCCTAATGAGAAGCAGGAGGGAGATCAAAGAATTGTCCAGAAAAGACCTGAATACTGATGAACTGCATCCACCTGCCTCATCGACAGGATCCACCCAGCTCTAAACTTCTTTTGATCTTTGTAAAGAAATGATAAATGTATAATGTATGTGATAAAACTTACAGAATCATCAGTTTAGGAGGGCGCAATAGTCAAAAAGGTTAAATATAATCCTTTAATCCATTTTACTTCACATATAAAGCCCAAAACTAGAGTAAGAGGTTTACCTTGATGGCCTGAATGTGACGTGTCTCCTGTTTGTGCCTCAGAAGTTCCCTCTAAGAGCCACACAAAGGAACAACAAAAACATTAGAGAAAAGGACTCTGCCCCTAAGACAGCTCCTCTATGTTAAACCTAATTACATTTACTTACTGTACCTTGAGATCAAGGGCTTCCTCCATGCTTTGGTCCAGACGACTGCGGATGAGAACCTTCAAAGGGAGAGGGTACGAGCGGGGTAATTAGAGAATGGAAAAATGTCAGAACGTATGAGGAGGCATTGGGCCTCCATGACAGTGCGCTGGCAGATCAGAGAGATTCATTTGTGCTCTATAGTGGCCACTCGTGAGACGAGTAATGGCTACAAACATCATCAGAACAGAAGGGCTGACACGGACACTTCAAGCTCGGTGGCGAGCAAGTGTTGTTTGTTTTCTCAAGTTAGCAGAGAGAGGGCACTGTACCAGCTGCTGCTCGGTGTTAGCCCGGTTATCTCCAAAGCTCACGGATCCATCCTGGTCTTCCTCAGGGAGGGAGCCATGGAGCAGCAGAGCCTAAAAACCAAAACACATACAGATCTGAAGAAAACTTGCAAGCAATGATAGTTGCGACGCATGATAGAGAAACCAGGTTTCTGTGGTTGTAAATGCCTTCGTTTTTGCACTGCAGCTAATAAAGTCAGTGAACTGAACCAAATCAAATTGAAATTACACTGACAAGTCTGTGTAAATATACAGACTGTAATGTAATATAGAGACTCTAAAAGTGAAAACATAAAGGCTATTACTGTAAAAGTCACCAAAACATCTATTTTTAATTTATGAACAGTATGTGGACGTGCTGTCACTGCACCGATATTTGTAGCTGAATACTATAAATGACCCCAAACATACCAATTAAATACCATGTGCCAAACTTATTTATTTGCACAAATTAAGGAAGCTGGCAAAGATTAGCAAATTTTGTAGGATTAGCTTTGTCTTTCATATTTTTATTCTTAATTATCCTAATAATCTGTGGCTCTCTTCCACACCGTGTCTTTGTTCTGTTTCCCTTACCTCACCCCCAAACGCTTGCAGCAGTCTGCCCCGCCCTGAGCCTGAATTTGACAGAGGTTTCTTCCAGTTGAAAAGGAGTTTTTGCTTTCCACTGTTGCCAAAGGGCTTGCTTATAGGGGGTTATCTCATGCTGGGTTTTCTCTGTTTTCTTTGTATTATTGTAGGGTCTTTATCTTACAATGTAACGCTCCTTGAGGCGACTGCTGTTGTGATTTGGCGCTATATAAATGAAATTGAATTGAATTGAATGTATTGATGTCTGAATAAGACCCATTATACTGTAAGGATCTTGCACATGGAAGGTATGTTGTAACATGGAAAAGACTCAATGCTTTTCACAACCTTCTGAAATTCAAATCAAGCATCAGAATTGGAAGAGAAAGGTCCTTTTATTGACTTTGAAAGTGGCATGGTTGTTGTTGCCTGTCAGGCTAGTATTACAACAAAAGTATGCAGAAGAGCATTTATAAATGCTCAGTGTGTTGAACCTTGAAGCAGATCAATTCATCATTCACAGAAGCACCAATATTAGACAATAGAAGATCTCAATGTCTGATGGTGGTGTATTGGTGTGAGGGATATTTTTGATGGCTGCACCCAGCTGTATAACGCGCCTCGTCACAGAGCTCAAATCATCCCAAACTGGTTTCTTGAATATAACAGTGTATTCACTGTACTCAGATGACCTCCACAGCCACCAAATCTCACTCCAATAAAGCACCTTTGTGATGCGGTGGACCAGATTTAAATTGTGTATGTGCAATTGACAAATCTGCAGCAACTGTGTTATGGTATCACATCAATATGGACCAAAATCTCTGAGGAATGTTTCCAGCACCTTGTTGAATGTGTGCCATGAAGAATTAAGACAGTTCTGAATCTAAAAACCAGTACTACCAGGTATTAATGCCTAATAAAGTGGCAAGTGAGTTTATAGTTTATATGTATTATAAGCCTAACAAGTCTCATTTTATGATTTTCTTATAAAAGCGCCTCCTTTCACATTTTTTCATGCAACATAATTTTAATCATTTCATATAAATTATAATAGATCAGTGACTTATCCACAGTGCACTCTGCTATTCACCCTGTGACTACTGGGATAGGCTCCGACCCTTCTACGACCCCGATTGGATAAACGGAAGTAACAGAATGGACTCAAAGTATAAATCAGGTAAGAAATTTTTTCATCTTTGTCTGTTTATCTGTCAAAACACATATTATTCTTTCTAGTGGATGGCTTTATCATGCTTAGTGTGTTACATCTGGTCTATCTGTTTGGGTTTCTTTTTAATTACTTCATTTAAAAAGATATTTCCATTTTTAGCATGTAGCATTTGGATCTTGTCATTTCTTTTGTCATTTCTAAGTCTTCCCAAAATCTTGTAATCTTACTGACTGCTAGTGACACTCTGGTACAATTTTATTTAGCAATTTAACTTGGAAAGTGCTGTCTAATTGCAAATTAACTAAATATGCCAGAATACATGTCTATAATTAACTAAATTGAGGCATGTATTTATTTCCAATCCTCTGATGAGATTTCAGTTATACAGTCTTCATTACTTGCGCTTGGTTTACAATGTGAACTCCCTCATGAACAGAGTGTAAGCAGATTATAAAACGTTGATATGACGACCTTTCTTTAGCAGTCCTTTGTCATCGATACTTTAGTAGGAATCTGTGGGGATCTAGTGAGTAAATAATGTTGATGTGCTGCAGAAAATAACAGTGTTTTCTTTTCAGATTAGATTCTTGCTTCAGTTCTTCAGTGCACATAATAATACAAGAGTTTGGATCTTTTGAACTCCTTGAGAAGCCCGATTTCAAATGCACAATCTGCTGTGCCTTGTGAAAGCAAACCAGCTACCCCATACTGAGCTACAGTTAGCTTTGGATTCAAAAACAACCAAGGTGTGATTAAAGTGCAGACTTTCAGCTTTAATGCATGGGGTTTAACAAAAGTATTCCTTTTTTGTTAGCCATTTTTATACAAACTAACATAGTATTAAATATACACATTGATTTTAAAAATTACAGAAAATGTTTGCGGTCAGTGGCTCCCTGAAATTTAGAACCCATGCACACCACCAAGTGCTTTTTTCATCCCTTGAGGTGCCCTGCAGGCCCTTTCTGCAGCCACCTTCAGTCGCTGCTTCAGTGTTTGGTGCTGCAGTCCATGTGCATCCCTTCTTTTTATTTTAAGAATGTACCAGATTGTTGGTTTGGCCACTGCTAGAATTTAGTCATCTCTTTGATAGTTTTATTTGGTTTTTGCATGTTTTACAACCTAATGATGGACTCCTTCACTTTTATTACCTAATCTTTTGGACCCCACATTGAGAGTTCCAGTGAAAAGCTCTAAATCAACTCCCAGTCTTTTTTCTGCTCAGTTTGTCATAAAATAACAACAGAACAGGCATCACTTAACCATGGAGCTGCTTGTCAGTTAATTATCTAACTACTTGTGAGCATCTGATAAGACAAGATTACATAGAAAGCGGCTGTAGACATGCAAACATTTTTAAAAACTTTAAGCTAGCACTGGATGCTAACAATTTTTAAGGTTTCTTCAAACTGTTTAGTTGCATTAGGACCAACTACATGGTGATTTTTGTTTTTCACTATGGCTCTAATTTAACAACCCAGTGCCCTGATTTTATTGTAAGGACAGATAATAAATAGCCTCCTTTTTAAAATGTTTCAGTGACTCAAAACAGAGAAACAATAAAGTCAGCAAACAGAGGTATGGTGGGTTTACCTGCTGATAAAAACTGAGCTGAAAACGTTTACATGCCCTGACCAAACTTTCATCCTTCTTTCTCAGAATCTATTTTTTTACTACTTGCTCCTTACTCTGTGGATTTGTTGCAAATAGGGCAGCGACCCTGTCGCTTATATCCCTTGGCCCAGAGCAGCAGTTTGTTTTGAAGTGCATTACCTGTAACCGGAACACCATCCTTCTCGCTTCTTGCATCTCCTTTTCCAGCTGCTCCTGGTGTGCATCCAGCTGCTCCTCCCAGGACTTCTCTTCCTCCTGCCCATCGTGCCCCAGGGAAGGACACAATCCACAAAGAGCCACCTCCTCTAAATGTGGCAGAGGGACAGGGGAAATGAGGCAAGGCACCTTTTTTTTCACTGCATCATATCTGGCTTTACAAGAGTTGATGTGCAGCCAACCAACCTGTGACAGATTTCTTCTCTGTCAGCTCAGATTTGTCATCCTGAGGTTCCCCCTGGTTCTCAGGGTGATCATGGACTGTTTCTTCTTTAGGGGTGTCAGTGAGCTGGGTGATAACATACTCCTCTTTGGGGGAGTGAGCTGGGCTGGCTGAGCTGAGACTGAAACAGATGGTGGGCACAGGCAGGAATGAATGTGCTTGTATGCTGCCAAATGAGCAGCAATAAAGAAACCTAACTACATAAAATGGTGATTTGAAATTTTAAAAATTCCCAGAGGAGCACAATAATGTAAACTAATCCCATTTGGGATAGATATTTTAACTAAATCCATTTTTGAACTCATAATGCCAATATGATGCATGATATTTCAAACAGCATTGTCTGCATCACGGGTTCACAGATTATTTTGTAGATAACAGAACTATTAGAAAAGGGGGAAAAAAGAAGAAAAGACTGACTGAACAGATTTTCAACTCATTCAAAAAATACACAGCAGGAGCAGGAATGCCTGCAAGCCTGTCATTTTCTAACAGGAAATTCTTTACATATTTTGCTCCCCCTTCGGCCATAATTTCATAACACAGTGCTGGCATGGTTTCTGAACAGCTTGTTTCCTTGCAGTTTCATGAATATAGTGTTTTTGAGAGCATCTCCAGCAGCCTGAGGTTCAGACCAGCTGTCATCTTCACTCTCCTGTGTTTGTGGACATTGGATACAGCTACTATGACCTGTGACCTATAGCATTATGCACAGTCCCTAACAGGGTAGTTTCCCTGTGTTTTTCCCTCCGAGTCTGCATGTGAAGACAAGCCTGCGACTGCATGAACAGATCTAAACGCTGTGCAAGCATGCCATAGAAAAGCATCACTACTCATCACCCTGCTCCCCAGGCTAACTAGCTGAGAATGAAGGAAAGAAAGCAAAGAATGTCCTGCTGAATTGTCTTCATATGTATGGTGGTAAGATTTTCTTCTTATGTAATAGTTAGCACTAGCTAATAGCACAGCAAAGTACTCTCTGAGGATTAAAGGACATATTCCTTTGATTAATCATAGTTAACGTCTGCTTATCAGCCACTGATCGAATCAGAAACACACCTCAAAGAATCTAATGTTAAGCAGACTTAGTGAAGCATTTCACCATTACAGCATCCAAGTTAGCATGCTAATATTTGCATATGATGGGGCTGAGAGAAATGTCTTGCAGGTAAAGAGTCATGAACAAATGCACCAGACATGTAAATTTTGTCTTGATGATTGTGCTCGATCGGAAATCAGTGAATAGCAGAGTTGTTACAATCCAAATGTATAAGGGCATACACTCCACAGCTGCTTTATTAGGTATACATGTTCAGCTGCTTGATAATATAAATGTATAATCAACCAACCACATGGCAGCAGCTCAGTAAATTAGGCATGTATACAAGGTCATGCCTTGTATAAGGAGCATTAGGAAGGTGAGAAAAAAGATGATTTAAGTGGTTTGTTAGTGCCAAATGTGCTGGTCTGACTGTCTCAGAAACTGACAATCAACTGGGATTTTCCCACACATCTCTAGGGTTTATAGAGAATGGTCCAAAAAAGTGCAAATATCAGGTGAGCAGCAGTTCTCTGGGCAAAAATGCCCTGTTGGACATCTCCTCTGCCAGAGGTCAGAGGAGAATGGACAGACTGTTTCAAGCTGATAGGGGTGTCTGTAGCTCAGGAGGTAGAGCAGGTCGCCTACTAATGCTCCAGTCTGCAGGCCAAATATCCTTGGGCAAGGTCCTAACCCCAAATTGGTCTACAGTGCATCCATCTGAGTATAAATGTGTGAGAATGTTAGATAAGAAGCACTTACACAGAACGAGCACAGAATGCTCAACTTGTGAAACCTTGAAGCAGAACACCACACTAAATGCCACTTCTTTCAGGTTAGAAAAGGAATCTGAGGCTGCTTTTTGCATAGGGTTACCAAAATTAGACAACAGAAGATTGAAAAAATGTTTTATGGTCTGATGAGTCTCGATTTCTGCTTCTGCTAGATTTCTCCTTACCCATCCGACATTCAGATGGGTAGGGTCTCTTTGGTATAAATAACATGGAAGCATGGATCCAACCCGCTTTGTATAAATGGTTCAGACTGGTGGAAATATATTGGTTAGAGGAATGTTGGATCTCAATTCAATAGAGCACCACTGGGATGCTAAAATGGTTAAACATGGTTTAATGTATTATTCTTTTTATATATCAAACCATACTGAGAAAGTTATGATTAGTTTCGTCTTTCCAACTTCCCGGAAAGAGTCTCTGCACTACTGTAGGTCACATAAAAACATGAACTAAGCCTCTTATCAGAAGCTGCTGTAATTATCCTTAAGTGTTTTTCAAAAAGGGATCAAAGAAGCACCTCCTACTAATCTAGTCACTGCAGATAATAACACTATCGGGATACCCTCTATCATTGTCTCTAAGAGTAGTTCAATAACACATTTATTGTAAATGCTCTTTGCTGATCTCTCGCTACAAGAGAACACGTACAATCCGATAGATTTGGAACATATGGGTTTAGCAAAGATTAAGCATTGGGATTTGCAAAAGATGAGCTTCTGTGCAATAGATTAACATAATTTGATCAGTGGTGGTGGCCTGAGTGGGCCTCCATTTACTCCAATTTTTAGATACTTTGCTTTAGTATTTATACTTTTTTTGGCTACTTTGTATTCATAGCTGCTACAAACTGCTAAAACTTATTATTTCTCAATATTTATCCGACTGTTGCTTGTCATATTAGCTTTCGTAGATTAGTAGATTTAGTTGATAGCATTTTAATAGATTTTAGGCAGTGCAAGTACTTAGTCGATCCATCAAAGAAAGATTTTCTCTATATGTTTCTTTGAGTTTTTTAAAAGAAAGAAAACTTGTAAAACCAAACCTTTCACAAAAATTATCAGATGAAAAAAAGCTGTTGTATCTTCTTTCTTTTTTTCACGTTCACCACTTTTAAAAAACCCTCAAATGCTGTGGTTCAGCGGTCAAGTCCAAACACCCGTTTTGGGAACTACTAAATTATAGATGACAGTGTATTAAATAATCCAAACTACTTTCACCTCCTTTTTCTACAACAGTAAAGTGCAGCTTATTCATCTTTTATAACATATCAGTGACAGTTTGTGTCATCATCAATCTTTTTGACTGATGTGTTCAGCACTGACCTTAAAGGACCAGTTAAATAAAGCAGGTCATTGTAAACATGGTGCAAAGTGAAAAAGAAGATAAAGTTATCAGATTAAAGTAAAGAATAATGTAAATCAGTCTAATCAATTTAAACTTATATCTGAATCGTGGCACGGCATACACAGAAATAGCTGTTAGAGAGAGGTTGCTAGGCAATAGCAGCTCGGCTCACACAGACACACACAGGGACACACCCACACCTACTGCACTGTAAACACCGAACAATAACCTGCACAGCTTGGCTTTCAAGATCAAGCTGTTCGGATGAAACGCAATTCCATGACTAAGACTGAGATTCACATGTGGTTGAAGTGATAAATCTGTTTTATAGTGTTGTGATTGTAGACTTACATATACATATATATATATATATATATATATCTGCCACTGATGCATCCCTGCATTGTCAACAATAGCAATAGCCTGAATTGCCGTACTGTTCATATTAAAATAGCACTTACCATTTCATCTGTTTTGCTCCCATGCTGGTGTTTACAGGCTTAACCTCCCATACAGTCCGCGCCCCACATCTGGGTGATGCCCTGCGTCTCAGTCAGGACCATAGCCCAAACACAGCCAGAGGCAGCAGGGAGGGGAACAGCCCTGAAAGCCGCAAGCAGAGGAGTCTCCACGTCGCACACTGTGTTCAATCAGAAATAACAGCACGTTTAAATCCTCTCCAACAGCATATTCCTAAAACATAAAGCTCAAAATCCTAATCAAAAGCCCCCCAAACCCTTCCCCTAAATCATACCAAGGCTCAGTCGTTGCTGGCAGGGAGAGATAGGGAGAGACAGACAGAGAGAGGATTGGAGCTCAGCAGCACCAGTGACTGAAATCTGCCTGGTTTCTCATTGCACTCGCCTTGTGGTGGAGCTCACCAGCTCCCATTCACGAACACAATGTTTTTTGTTCCTTACGGACAAGAACTGATGCAGCTCTTGTGCATCTTTTTCACCCTTTTTGCATTCATTCTCCTGTCCCCTCCCTCCTTCTGCTTGGCCGAACTGGCTTTGTATCACTCCTTCCTTCGTTCGGTGAGAGAGAGGATGTCAGACATGGCTCTGTCTGGGTGTGTTCACCCTCCCCCTCTCCCTTATTCCTCCTCCCTGCTTTCCCTACAGCTCTCTCCTTTCACAAGGAGGAAGAGGTGGGAGTTGTTCTCCTTCTCCTTTTCTCTCCATGTACTGCATATACCTGCAGCTAAAATGAGAAATGACATTCTGATTTTTAAAAACAGGAAAATTAGCAGACTTTTGTTTGTTGATAAAACCACAGGCTTGTATAACAACATACCATACAGGCCAAGCCATTACCAGAGGGTAATTATATATTTACAGAGTCAGAGGAAATAGGGAGGTACTTAAGGAGAAAATGGTATTTATAGAGTGGACGCATCAGCCTGGAAAACCAGCTCTTCTCACTTCTGTGTCTTGTATGTACTGAAAAGCATTTCGATGCTAATGCGCTACAACATCAGAGGCATCAGATTAAACTCAAATTTTTAAAAAAGGGCAACCTCCGAAATTGAAAAACAAGCAACAAAAAAAAAAAAAATTCCTTGAAAAAAAAAACCAAGGGTAAAGAATCCCTTTAAAAGCCGTTTTGGCAAAATAACCCGGCAATAAAGTGGTAAAAAGGGTGGCAAGGGCAACAACAAGAAAGAAAAAAAAGCAACCAAAAAACGTGAAGTAGGTCTCAACGTGGCAGCTTGCAGTTCTGCCCATAACAAAATGACAGCGTCTTAAATTCCCTATGAGCGCCATCGATGCATGCTTCAATGAGCTACTTTACTGTAGAGCCATGAATATGTATGTAACCCACCATACAAATGCCGCATTAGATTTATGCAGAGAAACAGCAGAGGCAAAAGCAAGCTGTCATGCCGACAGCTATTTGTGCTAAATCAAAATGAGAAAAATATTTAAATTTGTTGGGATACCTACAATAAGTGAAAAATGTTTAAATCACACACAAAATATATTTTTGTAATTTCAAAAATATAAAGTGTTATTAGTCCCACATTCCGTGTATCCCTTTATTACGACTGCCATGTGCGGTTATCGTTTTCTAGTGTATATTTGAAAAAAACCTTTTAATACTTTAGTAGCTTTTGAAAGAAGGCCTATTTTGCTCATTTCCCAGCTCCATATTTTTGTTCTACTAGAGTAGCTTTGCACAATTTAGAGTTCAGAATAATCCCTATTTATCTGATACTGGGCTTTAGGGCAGCCCTCTTACTTTAAGGCTCATTATTTGGCATTTTGGAAACGTAATCAATCCACGGTATATAACAGAAAGTAAGGAAATGCACAATAGGTCACCTTTTAGAAGAATGTGATGCTCACACAAACTAAGGTTTGTTACACTCTCCGTTCCTAAAAGCATCTGCATGCAAGGAATGAGCAGATAAGGTGTCAGAAGCTTATGAGAAACCACTTTATGGAGGTCACAAAAGGTCAAATTATATATTTGTTCTTATTAAATACTGATGGGGTGGGGAGGTTAATATTTTCTTATAAGCCCTTTCAAAAGAAAATGTATTTTTCAACTCAACCCTATGTCTTCAAAAATAACTCCAATATACATTATTGAACAGTCCTTGACTCTTGAACACTGTTTACACATCCTCACAGCTCAAACATGACCACCAAGCCCTGCAAATCAAATTCTATCGTAATGACGCTCATAATAAGTCATCTGAACCTCACCTAATCGGCCAAAGCTACACAATCAAGCATCAAATGAGCTTCGTGCTACAGGTCAGAAGGAAGGTCAGCGTCCACTTATGGGCTAATCAGTGGCTGTAATTTTGAATCTGCGCACGGTTTCCTTCACAGCAGCAATATGTGGACTAAATGAGACATCGCAGTGCATTTAAAATCAAGAGTCAGCAAAAACACCTAACGGCTGGATCATGTGGGATTTCATTCAAATCAGTTGTAGGCTGACATCTGTTTGTCTGTCTAACAACAGTATTTGTTGTAAGACAGACAAACAGATGAATAAAATTCTGGTGAGCACTGTTTGGGTCTTTCAGTTATTTAAGATGCATTATTTGACCGTCCTCTACCTTGATTTTGCAAGCAGGAAGACTTCCTATCAGGTAAATAAAAAACAGACTGAAAATCCACCCACACCCATCTATCCACAGGCTTAAATAACTAAATTCAAAAGTAGCTTTGTCAACAAGGATGAAAAAATGGAATTGTTTACAAATAATAATAATAACACTAAGAGGCTCCAATATTATGCAGAAAGTGCACTGATTAGTTTGGCGACTTCAATAACTTCATGGAAACCTTTTTCGTGAAACAGCCTTATAAGGTTGTTTGTGTTCCATCATGAGCTGATTCCTTTTTTTCTCGGCATTACTTTGAATATTTTTTCCCCAATATTGAAAAAACAAGGACAAACTCAGGTGCCCTAAAGGCAGACAATGATGATTTGGCAGAGCAAGACGTGACTGAGGGAAGTGTTTTTATCAGGCACTGTTGGATTCATGTACGGATGATATATAAACAATGACTTTGCTGTTCAAAGTGTGGTGCCAAAGTCATTCCACCACTGGGGATCCAGGCAATGAGAAAAAAAGCCAGTTTGCCACAGAGACAGCATGCAGTCAGCCTATTTGTAAATCAAATGAGTTTCTAAAATAGAGCGTGCTTGCATGGTCACTATGGGTTTTTGTATCAAATTACGAACATACCTTAAACAAAAGTTATCTATGTTTTCCCCCTTTCATTTCAGTGACCTTCAAACAGATAACCATGAAGCTGATAAGAGTTTCCCCCTAGGAAGTTGATGCATTTTTTTAGTCAATTTAGAAGGAAGTATTTTTGTTTGGGAGATAACATTGGAGAGCGAAAACAAAGCCAACATCTTTTAGATTAAACCACTTGTGTACATATTGACTACATAACTGAAACCAATGTGAAAAATGATTTGCTCTTTAAATAAATAATTATTTAAAGAATATACACCAAGCATTCAAAATCTGTACTCAGCCAAGGCTGAACCCATAAAAGTTGTTATCCTTGTAAAAAGGAAAAGTTTGGAAGGGTTTAACCTTCAAGTAGTTTTTAATTTGTGTTGCATTCAGTCAAGTGCAACTTCTAAATCTAAAGTAAACACCAAACACTTGGTTTTGACACAGATGAACACAGATCTATAAATCAAACATTTCTATAAAATGTATTCATATAGGCAGCAGATGTTGCCCATATCATACCAAAGATGACCGAAAAGCATGACCTCAGTTTAATTAAAGCAGTGACAGAAAAGCTGTCCAGAAACCACAGATGTTTAATTTGTAGATGAGAAACACTAATATGTAGTTTTTGATCAGTGTAGTGGAATAAAAAGTACCAGTTCAGTACTGTATCAATCTAAAGAAACATTTTGCATATTCATTTTGCACAAGTTTTCGAAACTGATACTTGTACATTTGTAAGAGTTTGTGACTCACCGGTAAATGTAGACTAGTTTTCAGCACCTTTTTTCACCTTTCAGAGCATCAGAGGTTGGATATTAAGTTATTCTGACATAATTGTTTCAAATCTGGTTTGACTTGAACAAAGTCTAAAAGCCCTGCTTTTAGGTTTGAACAGAAGACCTTTTTTTTTTTGTCAAAGTGGTATTAAAGTGCAAGGTGCTCATTCATGTAAAAATGTACCCTGGTTCATGTGCATTTCAGAGTTTGTCAGATATAGTGCACAAATTCACATAACACAATTCTACCTTTTATGAACAATGTGTCATAATGATGATAGAATTTACTTTCTATCACCTTTATGGCCTTTAAAGTAGTTTGATTTTTCTGCGCTATATCTTACAAACACCATAATTAGGTCTAATGAATATGCAAGAAATACACTTTGATTCCCAAAATTTACTATACCCACTATGCAATGAGAGCAGCTTAATACATCCAACCAAGCAGATAACATCTACTAACTGAATGTGCCTTGGAAGTACTGGCTTGCACAACTGTGGCAGCATTTAAATTAGACATAAGGCTAATTTATTTGCAGAAAGTGATCCATCTTGTTTGAAAGTTGTGCAGGCCTTATATTGGTACAGAGACTTTAGGAAGATCCCAAGAGCCAAATGTACAACTTGGGGCTATGAAGTCTTCAGTGAAAACTGGGTTATGCAGAGTGTAGCTATTTTTATTCATTTATTTATTTGTTTATTTTTTGGTCAGATATAGGTCAGTACAAAACATTAGTAGCCTGGCTATATATGTTCACATTTTCTAAAACATAAGATATAGCCATCCTTAACATAAAATTAATCATTGCAATTGTAATTGCGATTACAATGACCTAAACAGGTGAACTGGCTTTTGAAAGTTAAACCAGCAGATATAACCTATACATTCTGCTTTGTCACATATTCTTGTTGCTTTGTTTTGTTGTCTGCACAACAAAGAATAAGTGGTAAGTTCTGCAGGAACAGTGGATGGTAACAATGATGGAATCACTACATCTTTCAGCTGCTCCCTTCAGGGGTCACGAG